ATAAATAAATCATATGTTTTAATATGATTCACTACGTTCTAACAAAATACATTTTTTTAAAGGTTTAAATTTTCAAGCATTAGTGAGTTCATTTTGGAAGTTTCTTGGGATTTTTCAAATTACTTCTGCGTAAGCGATAATGATTATTTGTCATTGCCTTAACCTTGTACAGACTTGATGAATAACGGAATCAATCTACTTTTTAAATATTTTTTTGATAAATATTATAAATTACACAATCTTATACTAATATTTAGGGGACAGTTTTTATAAAAAAAAAATAAAATAACAAAAAAAAAATTCAGGATTTGAAAATAAATTTTTAATGTTATCAATTTAAAATCATAAACTTTTGATTTCTTTTCAATTTAAACTACTTCTCTATTTATATTAAGTAAATTTGATAGCTAAATAGCTATTTTAGTTATTAAATTCAAGCAAATTAGCATTTTAAACATCTAATGTATGGTTTTGTTAACTAGTGCTCACTTGTTAACAAGAGCCTTTAATGTATACCTACATGAAATTTAATGACTGAAATACTCTTAATTTGTCGATTTTATTTAACAAAAATAGACGGATGATTTAATTTGAAAATAAATCGAAAGATTAAAATTTAAATTGACAAGATTTTAAATTTATAGTTTATTTTATTATAAGACTTAAAGCTTGAAGGGCTTTTTTTTTTATTTTTATAATTGTCTTTAATATTTATTATAAAAAAAAAAACAAAAATCGTTAATATTTAACAATATATGTAGAGTCTAAAATATAATAAACAGTAATACTACATCTGTCGAATTTGGGCTTATCCGGATTGTCCAAATGTGTTTGCTCCAGTTGCCCTAAAGTTGTGTGGGCTTCTTGCGCGGTCATGAGGGTGGTCATTGGGCCATTCAAGGGTGACAACCGTGGTCGATAAGGGTGATACCGGTCATTTTAGAGGTTGTCCAGCCAATCAAAGGTGATAGCCATGGTTGATAAGGGTGACGCTGGTCATCCAGGCAGTCATTCGAAAGGTCGTCCAGCTTATGCCACGTAATTGAGGCAGAATCAGACATTCTATATTCGGTGGATCAATCAATTTCCTATTATAAAAAAGATATCGATATTCTAAAAATATTCTGATCCCAAAAATGAAATAATTATAAACAATACATGTGATAGTGATGTGATTATGACACAAATTAATTATAAATAAATAAATCATATGTTTTAATATGATTCACTATGTTCTAACAAAATACATTTTTTTTAATGGTTTAAATTTTCAAGCATTAGTGAGTTCATTTTGGATGTATCTTGGGATTTTTCATATAAGCAATGATTGTTATTTGTCATTGCCCTAACCTTGTACAGACTTGATGAATAACGAAATCAATCTACTTTTTAAATATTTTTTTGATAAATATTATAAATTACACAATCTTATACTAATATTTAGGGGAAAGTTTTAAAAAAAAAAAAAATTCAGGATTTGAAAATAATTTTTTAATGTTTTCAATTTAAAATCTTAAACTTTTGATTTGTTTTCAATTTAAACTACTTCTCTATTTATATTAAGTAAATTTGATATCTAAAGAGCTATTTTAGTTATTAAATTCAAGCAAATTAGCATTTTAAACATCTAATGTATGGTTTTGTTAACTAGTGCTCACTTGTTAACAAGAGCCTTTAATGTATACCTACATGAAATTTAATGACTGAAATACTCTTAATTTGTCGATTTTATTTAACAAAAATAGACGGATGATTTAATTTGAAAATAAATCGAAAGATTAAAATTTAAATTGACAAGATTTTAAATTTATAGTTTATTTTATTATAAGACTTAAAGCTTGAAGGGTTTTTTTTTTATTTTATAATTGTCTTTAATATTTATTATTAAAAAAAAACAAAAATCGTTAATATTTAACAATATATGTAGAGTCTAAAATATAATAAATAGTAATACTACATCCGTCGAATTTGGGCTTATCCGAATTGTCCAAATGTGTTTGCTCCAGTTGCCCTAAAGTTGTGTGGCCTTCTTGTGCGGTCATGAGGGTGGTCATCGGGCTATTCATGGGTGACAACCGTGGTCGATAAGGGTGATACCGGTCATTTTAGAGGTTGTCCAGCCAATCAAAGGTGATAGCCGTGGTTGATAAGGGTGACGCTGGTCATCCAGGCAGTCATTCGAAAGGTCGTCCAACCTAAGGGTGCCACGTAATTGAGGCAGAATCAGACATCCTATATTCGGTGGGTCAATCAATTTCCTATTATAAAGAAGATATCGATATTCTAAAAATATTCTGATCCCAAAAATGAAATAATTATAAACAACACATGTGATAGTGATGTGATTATGACACAAATTAATTATAAATAAATAAATCATATGTTTTAATATGATTCACTATGTTCTAACAAATTACGTTTTTTTACAGGTTTAAATTTTCAAGCATTAGTGAGTTCTTTGGAAGTATCTTGGGATTTTTCATATTGCTTCCGCGTAAGCGATGATTATTATTTGTCATTGCCCTAACCTTGTACAAACTTGATGAATGACGAAATCAATCTACTTTTTAAATTTTTTTTGATAAATATTATAAATTACACAATCTTATACTAGTATTTAGGGGAAAGTTTTTTTTAAAAAAAATTCAGGATTTGAAAATAAATTTTTAATGTTATCAATTTAAAATCTTAAACTTTTGATTTGTTTTCAATTTAAACTATTTCTCTATTTATATTAAGTAAATTTGATAGAAAATGAGCTATTTTAGTTATTAAATTCAAGCAAACTAGCATTTTAAACATTTAATGTAGGGTTTTGTTAACTAGTGCTCACTTGTTAACAAGAGCCTTTAATGTATACCTACATGAAATTTAATGACTAAAATACTCTTAATTTGTCGATTTTATTTAACAAAAATAGACGGATGATTTAAATTGAAAATAAATCGAAAGATTAAAATTTAAATTGACAAGATTTTAAATTTATAGTTTATTTTATTATAAGACTTAAAGCTTGAAGGGTTTTTTTTTTTAATTTTTTATAATTGTCTTTAATATTTATTAAAAAAAATACAAAAATTGTTAATATTTAACAATATATGTATAGTCTAAAATATAATAAAGAGTAATACTACATCTGTCGAATTTGGACTTATCCGAATTGTCCAAATGTGTTTGCTCCAATTGCCCTAAAGTTGTGTGGGCTTCTTGCGTGGTCATGCGGGTGGTCATCGGGCTATTCAAGGGTGACAACCGTAGTTGATAAGGGTGATACCGGTCATTCTAGAGGTTGTCTAGCCAATCAAAGGTGATAGTCGTGGTTGATAAGGATGACGTTGGTCATCTAGGCAGTCATTCGAAAGGTCGTCCAGCCTAAGGGCGCCACGTAATTGAGGCAGAATCGGACATCCTATATTCGGTGGATCCATCATTTTCCTATTATAAAAAAGATATCAATATTCTAAAAATATTTTGATCCCAAAAATGAAATAATTATAAACAACACATGTGATAGTGATGTGATTATGACACAAATTAATTTAAAATATCTATTAATATGAGTAGTTAAAATGTACGAGATCAATATGTTTTATGGTATGAATTATGAGAGAATTTAAGAGGCTTGTAGGATCAATGTAGACTTAATTTTGATGATTCGAACTATTTTATTATTCTTAAAAAAAATTAATTTGATCTGATAATCATAATATTTTCACTTTTCGTACTTCTTTTTGAAAAAATGAATGAAAAAATATTTTAAAAAATAGACTATATAATATATATATATATATATTTAAAGACATACACAATAAAATAAAAAATATTATAATTATTGGATCAATATTAATATGAGTAGTTAAAATGTACGAGATCAATATGTTTTATGGTATGAATTATGAGAGAATTTAAGAGGCTTGTAGGATCAATGTAGACTTAATTTTGATGATTCGAACTATTTTATTATTCTTAAAAAAAATTAATTTGATCTGATAATCATAATATTTTCACTTTTCGTACTTCTTTTTGAAAAAATGAATGAAAAAATATTTTAAAAAATAGACTATATAATATATATATATATATATTTTTAAAGACATACACAATAAAATAAAAAATATTATAATTATTGGATCAATTAATTTTTTTATAGATAATATATATTAAAAAATGGAGATTGACCAATAAGTCCTATGTTTTGAACTTATAATATATATAGTCCCATATTTTTTCTTGTGATCCATTTAGTCTTTTTGGATATGTAATGACTCATTTACCCGCCACATTAAAGTGTCATATTTGGAAAATATACATTAAAAAGTTTTTTAGTGTCACATCATACCCGCCACATTAGAGTGTCACATTTAGGACAAGTACACTAAAGAGTTTTTAATTTTTTTAGAGTGTAACATCATACCTGTCACGTTAAAGTGTTACATGTCACGTTTGAGAAAAATATACTAAGGAGTTTTTAATTTTTTTTGAGTGTCATCATTCCCGCCACGTTGTCATATTTAGAAAAAGTATATTAAAGAGTTTTTATTTTTTTTAAAGTGTCACATTATACCCGTCACATTGTCACATTTGAAAAAAGTACACTAAGTTTTTTTTTTTTTGGAATAAAAGTTTTGGAGTGTCATATCATACCCGTCACGTTGTCACATTTAAGAAAAGTATACTAAGGAGTTTTAAATTTTTTGGAGTATCACATCGTTGGAATGCCATATTAATACTCGTCTTATTGGAGTATTACATCATACCTGTCACATTAATAAAAGAGTATAGTTGTCTACCAAAATTATCAAAGTAAAAAATAGGACTATATAGAAAGAAAATCTCCACTAATAGAACTTAAAAAGTCAATAAAAAAAAATTTGACATTAATTAAAATATTTAGTTATGAGATGAGATTTATTGATAAATAAATTTATAAAATAAACGATTTCATGATCAAAACTGCCGTATGGTCTCAATTTCGAGAAAGCTTTAAGATTTCCACGTGTCAAAAAAATTCAAATGAAGGACAAAAGAAGCGATAAAGAAGATTGTAAGGGACTTTCTAGGCTTGAGACATTTGTTTGGTTTAGCTTTAAAAAACCAAAGGTTGAGAATGAAGCTCACACTTCTCTGAAACATCCCATATTGTGAAGCAATGGCAGAGAAAATCAGTACAACAAAGAGGTAATTTTTGCTTCTCTTTGTAGCGTTTAGCTTCTTCAACTTTCACACCCACCAACTGTTTGTGTTATTGTCTGTGTATAGATACGCAGTGGTTACAGGGGCAAATAAAGGACTAGGATTTGAAATATGTAGGCAATTAGCTTCTAAGGGAATCCTGGTGCTGTTGACTGCTAGAGATGAGAAGAAGGGTCTTGAAGCTCTTGAGAAACTCAAAAGTGATGGCCTCTTTGATCATGTGGTGTTCTTTCAGCTTGATGTTGTGGACCCATCTAGTATTGCTTCCCTTGCCGATTTCATCAAGTCTAAATTTGGAAGGCTTGATATCTTGGTATGATTCACAACCCAATTCTCAATTTTTTTTTTGTTCATTTATTTTATGATTATGATTATTTGTTTTTGCAGTCTCAGTCAACAGCCATAGCTTACCTGAATTGTAATTTTAGTATTATACTATTAGACGATCTCCAATCATTCATTTTTTAAAATTTTTATGAAATTCAATTTTGATGAAGGATCTGATAAATTCTCAATTTGATTAAAAGAATGACTCTCACTTGATTTAATTAACATTTGATGAAAGGACTGAAGATAATTTTTTAACATTTTTTTCATCAAATTTAAATTATTTGATGAAAGAAAAGGTGAAGGATTGGAGATGCTCTTACAGAGTACACAGTTACTATGTTGATATCTTGGTATGATTCACAAGTTGTTTTTCGAAAAATAGTTGCGGTCGCGGTAATGGTTGTGGTTGTAGGGTGTAAAGGTCATACTGTAATGGTTGCGATAACTGGAACCGTGAATTTTTTAATTCTTCGCACAATTTGAAAAAACTTACCGATACACACATATATATATATATATTTCAAAGTCACATTTATTAGGGTTTAAAATAGATTTTGATCAATTTTTGTTAGTTTTTAAGTATGATCTAATATATTTCATATTTTTAAATCACTATAAAAGGAACTTTTTATATTTTATTTCAATAGTTAATGATTTTAAGAATGATTGATTTTAAATGTCTATAAAATAATTTTTGACCAATACTTGAACTAACTAAATAAAAAATATTTACAATTATTAAATGAAATGATTATAAAAAAAATCGTGCCATGACAAAAATTATTTTTGAGCTAATGATTTTTTTTTAAAAGACATTTTTTAGACTACACTTTACAACTAACTAAATAAAATTATTTACAATTAAGTATTAAATGAAATGATTATAAAAAAAATTTGTTCCATAAACAAAAATTATTTTTCAACTAATGATTTTTTTTTTTTTAAAGACATTTTTTTAGACTACACTTTACAACTAACCAAATAAAATTATTTACAATTAAGTATTAAATGAAATGATTATAAAAATCTATAACGCCCCTAAAATATAACAACAAAATCATCTCACAATATTTACCAATTAACAATATATTTCAGAATATAATATCTTTATAATTATATGATCTAGTTGTACAAAAGATGACACATGCAACTATTCATTCATAAGCTTTAACTCTGAATTTATAGCATGTGTCATGAGCAAAAGATATGAAATAAGAGTTAAACAGATAAATGAATGCCTTAATGGTTGCAACTTTTCAGGTCGATACTTGGTTACAACAAAAGTGAGTTTGAAACTTAATACAAATAAAACCTTTGGCTTGTACAAAAATAATTACAACAATAACAAAAAAAGTTCTTGGCTCCAAGTCCTTCCAAGCTACGACTTTGGCGGAGACATATTATCAGCACCTGAAAATGGTTTTCCATGTAAGGTGAGCCAAAGCCCAGTAGAGAAAATCTATCACAGTGTATGAATCTTAACAAAGTTATAAGGTGAATGTATATGCAATGCTCGTGTCAAAACATTTTACATTTGTTTTCAAAAACCATGCAATACAGTTCATGAAATCATTTGCTTTATAATAGAAAATAAGGTAGTGGATACAACACTGGGAATCTCTAGGATGTATCTGCAAGTAGGCTATAAGTACTATCAATTGCAATTTTTACTGGTACTATAGCTTATTGATCATGCCCTATGTTACATGGACTCGGGTGCGGGTGTGTATCCAAGTGTTAGACATTCATAAATTTAAATCTTAGGATCTTGGGGTACGTATCCAAAATTGGATATGGGTACGGGGACACATCATATGCACATATATATTGTATATTATATAATATTCTCGAATGAGATGATTTAAATTATATAGAAATATATTAGAAATTAAATATGATTTAGAAAAAAATATGAAATTTCTATATCTAATTCATGTCGGAACCTAAAAATATTACTTTCCTAACAAATGTGAATTTCTTTTTCTTCATGTATTGTCACAAATTAAAGTATCTGAGTGTCTAAATTGGGTACGAGCATCGGACACATATCCCACACCCTTATCCATGTCATATCCGGTGGACACGGGTATTGTGGGGGAAATGAAGAGTCCATGTAACACAGATCATGCCTATTCTGAGTTCAAGTAGAGAAACTCTATCACAGTGTATGAATCTTAACAAAGTTATAAGGTGAATGTATATGCAATGCTGGTGTCAAAACATTTTACATTTGTTTTCAAAAACCATGCAATACAGTTCATGAAATCATTTGCTTTATAATAGAAGAGTCCATGTAACACAGATGTAAGGTGAGCCAAAGCCCAGTAGAGAAACTCTATCACAGTGTATGAATCTTAACAAAGTTATAAGGTGAATGTATATGCAATGCTGGTGTCAAAACATTTTACATTTGTTTTCAAAAACCATGCAATACAGTTCATGAAATCATTTGCTTTATAATAGAAAATAAGGTAGTGGATACAACACTGGGAATCTCTAGGATGTATCTGCAAGTAGGCTATAAGCACTATCAATTGCCATTTTTATTGGTACTAACCGGAAGGCTCGGCACCTATCTGCGCAGGTTTTTGGACTTTCATCAAGGACACACAAGCCAACTTAATACCACAACTACACTCTCTACCTAGATTTACCAAGGTATTCACCCATTTTTTCTCAAAACAATAATCATTTTCAATGTGTTAAATGTTACCATGCTCAATGCAAATGGATGAAAAATTAGTTTCAATTCACCTAATTCTCATGCAATTTCTACAACAATTATAGCTATCCTCCACCGATAGCCAAAAGAGATTTCTCTAAACAAATAAATAATTTCCAATAAATATATACTTTCCAACATTTCAAGATATGAATGATAATTCATATCCAACTCAACCACCATCATCATCATCGTTCCAATTTTATAAAACCAACATCAATTCTATTTTCTCTTTACAAAATCAAATATTCACAATTTAGGGCAAAATCCTAATTCTTCAAAAATCAACTCCAAGGATAAAATTCCACCATTTCATCACAACTCAACCACATTTACAAACCCATATTCATATTCAAGAACCCATTTTGAAAACCCCTATTTTGATTTCAAACCAAAACCCTAGCTTTGTTCCAAAAATCCCCAATATCAAAATTTCTTTAGAAAGACGAATAACCTAGTTAAAAACCATACTCAAGTGAGGAGAAATCCCTACCTCAAAGACAAGAACCAAGAAGAACAAGGGTTGAAACTCGACGAAGCCGAAAACGAATTTTGTTCCGATCAAATGGAAGCTCTTGGTGTGCTCTACTATTTTTCCCAAAGGCCAATGGTGTAGAAACCAACGGATGATAGTGTATTTGAGGGCTAAAGATGAGTTTTAGAGAGAGAGTGTCTAGATTTAAAGAGTGTCTAGATTTAGGGTTTTAAATGTTTAGAGAGAGAGAGAGATGAGAAAATGACTCAAAAAGTGACTTTTCGGAATTGATATACGCTCGGACCGTTTGAGCGACCAAAACAATGCTCGAGCGACTAGACACAAAAAAGAGATACCGCTTGAGCGAACAAAGTACCGCTCGAGCGAAGAACACCAACCTCTCAGTACTTTTGTAGTACTTTTGCATGTCTGCAAAAATACTGAGAGTTCCAAAAGACCGCTCAAGCGTAAGAAAGACCGCTCGAGCCAAGACTGCTCAAGCAGAAGAAACACCACTCGAGCGAAGAATGCCATATTCCCAGTAGTTTTGCAGACCTGCAAAAGTATTGGAAGTTCTCAAAGTTTGCTCGAGCGCAAGAAAGTTCGCTCGAGCAAACAAACCAAAAGCTAGGCAGTAACAGTTTTGAAAAACAAACTCCAAACTTGTTTCAAATACAACCAAGACACTCCAATAACCAATCTCAACAAGGAATAAGATGGAAGAAGACATGAACAACTAACAAGACTGGAAATCCCAGATCCAAAACAATGAACGGGTTGGGTTTAAATTAGAATCATTATAACCTGGTATTTTTTTTAAAGACATTTTTTAGACAACACATTATAGTAACAAAATAAAAAATATTTAAAATTAAATATTAAATGAAATAATTATAAAAATAAATACAATCACTGTTTATATATATTTTTTATTTTACATGTTAATGTAATGAAATAAAAATTAAAAAATAAATTATAAAGAAAAAAAATCCATACAAGGTTTTTTCTTTGGGCTTGGATCACTTGAATATTCGTTCTTTTAAGTTTTTTCTTTTTTCTTTTTTTTTTTTTTTTTTGTGGAAAAGAAGTTGAATATTCGTTCTTTTAAGTTTTTTCTTTTTTCTTTTCTTTTTTTTTTTGTGTGGAAAAGAAGCTATTCAAAATATTGTAACAGTGTGTAACAAGCCGTTAAGGTACCATAGCTGCAACACCGAAACGACCATTACACATGTGAATTTCAATCACACCGCAAAAGTGGGTGTAACGGGTAGCACTTACCACAACAACCGTTATGTAACACCGCATTTTGAAACCTTCACAACCCAATTCCCAAATTTGTTTATTTATTTATTTTGTACTTTTTGTTAAATTATTTTATAACCGAGAAGAGGTAGTTGGTGTAATACTGCCGCAACCGCTTGAGATGTATAGCAGAAAGCCTCTCCCACTCTCTTGAGTGGTAAGTGGTTGAACAGGATGAGCTGTCTCATTTTCTACAAGAGATCGGGGGATAGGTTCCCCCAAACCTCCCTCAGGGGGCGAATCTCAATTTGAGATCAAGGGGGATCCCCTCTTCAGATTCTTAAGAACGTACAGATTCACAATCTGAATCTGAATCGCGGAATAGTAATTCTACAAGCAGCTCGCCTGATAGAGATAGAATCAAATATATTATTTTATTTATTTCACCACAAAATTAGTTATAGAATAAAAAAGAGTGATATGAAATACGAAATCGGATTTCCTTTTTACTTATTTGTTGTGCAATCTCAATCAATAGCTATAGCTTAGCTGAATTGTAAATTTTTATTTTGATAATGTTGAACACCCAGTTAGTCTTTTGTACTTGATTTTCAGTCTTAAGTTGTATTCATCTCTTTTTTCCCCCCCTTAAATTTGAAAGATGAAATTGATGCATTCAATTGATAGAATTGAAGTAGTATGATTGTATTATACGACAAGAAAAATGCTTGTGTTTCTCATCATCCATTGCATTCTTTGTGAAGATATGGAAATGAACTATGAATTTACTTGTAATTACTATTTTGATAAAACTTGGCAATATCTAGTTACTCATTTGTACTCTTTTTTTCCCTAAGTTGTATTCATCTTTGCCTTTTTTTCAAAAATATGGAACGAAATTGAAGCATTCATGGATTTGATGAGCATGTTTGTTTGTCTTGATACAAAAGAAGCGGTATGATTATATTATGCAACAAGAAAAATGGTTGCGTTTCTCATCATTGATTTTGTGCTTGTTGAAGATATGGAAGTGAACTATGCATTTATTTATCAGTGAGAGTCATATGTATAGAGATAGCCTTCAATCGAAATTTAGATCTATGATTCATCTCTTTGAATGTTTTGGTGATTTTTTGTAAAGTAAATAAAGAAAATTCTCAAATTCTTGTAGGTGAACAATGCTGGGATTAGTGGAGTCGTGACGGATTGGGATGCTTTAAAGTCAGCAGATGCTGCTGATGTGAGTCTTAGTCATGACTCATTTCTTTCGCTCGAGTAAATTCAAATTGGTGTGATTCCAAAAATGCATACCATCTGAAGGCTACTTATCTTCGATATTTTATTTTTATTTTTATTTTCTTGAAATGGTTAAGATCTATACCTAACCTTTAATTTTTTTTGGAGATCATTATTAATATTGAAGGATCCTCATCACACTGATATGGTGATTTTAATTTTATCCGATGCCTTTCCAATCCCTATCACATTGATACTATAATTTTAAAAATATAGGACACGACACTTGGGTGATATGTGTTTATATATTTATTATGTCATATATAGAATATTTCATTTAAAGATAGATAAAAATATACAATATAACACAAATTTCTAAAGCTTAAAGCAAGATGGACTACTAAGTATGAATTTACATTGCTTTTCTTTTATTATGAGATCTTAAACTATTTTGTTCAATCTTACAAAGTGTTTCATGTGTGTCTAAATGATGGATATGTGTGTCCTCCAAGTGTAAGAAGCATGTCCGAGTCTAAATGTTTTTTCAAAAAAAAAATGGAACATGCTTGAATGTGTGTTTGACACGTGTCAGAAGTATCTGATGACAGTTGGGAAGTGTCGTGTCGGTGTCTGACACATGTTGGACGCGGACACACCACCTTCTTAAAAGTGTGTGCTTTTTAGGTAATAAGTAACAGAAAACCACAAGGACTATTACTGATTGATCTCATTAATGCAGCCTGGATTGCTTAACAAATGGAAAGAAGTAATGACTCAAAACTATGAGTTGACTGATGAATGCTTGCAAACAAACTACTATGGAGCAAAAAGGATGATTGAAGCACTTATTCCCCTCCTCCAACTCTCAGATTCACCAAGGATAGTAAATGTCTCTTCTGGCATGGGGAAGTTAAAGGTACAGAAGTAACACGATACTCCTTCTTAAGTATAAAATTTGCACTTTGGTTATTGCAAACTTAAGCAGTCTTGCTTGCTTACAAATTTGGCTTGAAATTTGCCTCTTGAATTCAAAGTAGAAGATTTAGCAGAAGATTTACTGTTTCCTACCAAAGCACTTATCAATGTTGTATTTTTGTTAGACCAGGGCTGTTATGTCTATCCAATAATACACATGGGTGATGTCACTCAACGATCAATGGTGTCAGCTGAACCCCTTGAGAAACAAATATATATACATATTTGTTTCTTCAAAAATTTATAATACAATTGTCACCACTGGATAAACAGGTTTAACCTTGATATATCTATATTGCATTTCCCAATGGCTTTTAAAAATGTCTTCTTTTGTTCTCCCAAATATTTTGACTTCCTGCCCTTTGGTTTTGGGCTATAATTTTCTATGCAAAAATTGAGAATTGATGGGAACTGAAGCTTGGCAACTATGACAATTTTTCCTTCTCTTTGTTTGCAAAGACTCACTTTTTATATGGTCTCATCACGCAATTGATAGGAGTTGAGCATAGTTGAGATTTGTTATCTAATAATTAAAGAGAGAAAAAAAATCTGTATCTTGATAATTGTTGTGATTTGTTCAAATTAAGAAAGCATTGTAACTTGTCCATGCAGAAGTTAGGATTTGTAGAATTTATGCTTCAGAATGTCACCACCAAGTTACTGACAAAATTTTTTGAAGTTGCCACTGTGAAAACATCAAATATCTTTATGTTGATAATGATGATAAATTGTTTTAATCAAAGTTATGCATAATACAAGAAGGATGTGGCATTCATAGCCATATTTAGTTTTATGGAAAAGCCATGCATCTAGAAAAAATCACTTCGAAAGTACCCAGGAAATAAAGTATATGGTGTAAATTCAACATAGCCACATTCTGGTGAAGCATGGACATAGACATGCGACACAATACGGATATGCCAACATGAAATTTTTTAAAAAAATGCATGAAACACCATGTGGAGAACATGCACAAAATATATAATTTTATGTATTTATTATATGTGACATATGTGAATATATCATTAAAATATAATTTTAAAAAATATAACATAACACTAATTTTTGTAAATCTACATTATTTTTCTTTTTATCTTTGTATCTTATAATTGTATGTTCAAACTCATAATTAGTTTCATGTCTGTCTAAATGATAAACATGTGCGCCCTCCAAGTGCCCAAAGAGTGTCTATGTTTATAAAAATTTAAAAAACAAAACATGTTTAGATGAGTATCCAACACATGTTAGTAAGTGTCCAACGAGTGTCAATGCCTGACATGAACACGACACAGACACGTCACTTGTGTAGAAATGTCCATGCTTGATAGTTCGGAATAAATATGGTCCATACATTTAATTTTTTGGGTACTTTTTGGGCTACTTTTCCGAAGTGCTTTGTTTAAAGAATGTGAACCACTTCCAGGATCAACTTTCTCATGGATGTGGAGCTTGTTTTCATATTTGCAAATTTATTATTGCCAATTGCTGTTCACCTTAGTTTTTTTCTTTCTCTCTCTTTTTTGTTTTTTTTTTGGTTTCAGAACATACCCAGTGAATGGGCTAAAGGAGCGTTGAATGATGCCGAAAGCCTTACAGAAGAGAGAATAGACGAGGTACTAAACAAGTTTCTAAAAGATTTCAAAGAAGGTTCGTTAGAATCCAAAGGCTGGCCTACGTTGTTGTCTGCCTATACATTGTCGAAAGCGGCTATGAACGCGTACACAAGATTTCTGGCCAAAAAGTATCCCACATTCCGCATCAATTGTGTCTGCCCCGGTTATGTTAAAACAGATATAAACAACAACAACGGCATACTAAGCACAGAACAAGGTGCTGAATGTCCTGTGAAGCTAGCCCTACTTCCTGATGAAGGACCTTCTGGCCTCTTTTTTGTTTGCAATGAACTGTCATCTTTTGAGTGAGAACTATTTATTTCAATATTGTAGACGAAGATGTAAGTATATAGTTATATATATCCTATATGACTTTGTACTCAAAAAATTCTCATGTTATTTAAATAAGTAATATTATGAACAACTCGAGGCAATTAAACTATGGGTGATGTTATGATACACACCTTTCAAAACGTACGTACTGTTGGCATCTTGTTACGTATATATTTTTTTTTTTGGATGAATACGTCATAAAATAAAACAAGAGAATTTACAAGATTTCAAGGGGCATACCCCAGGGTCTATCACAGCTATACACAAGACCAACCTAGAACGTAACTACTACAAACTAACCTAAACCAAATAAAAATAAATAAGATGGTGGAACCATACATCCTGCTCAAAATCCATATTTGATCTAGAAATAGGGAGAATGAACAAGTACAAAAACCCATACATCATGAACAAGTACAAAAACCGATACATCAGGACCCTTACATATAACAGAAAGCCATAAATACTCCCCAAATATACCACACCAAATCCCAGGCATTTGGGCATAGGCAGCATCATCACATACTTCACTAGCTGCAGCATCTCCCTTAATAGCACTTTGACCTGCCTCCAAAAAACCAGTATAAAGAACATCAGCCACAGTACAAGGCAGTCCATAAAAAACAAGACATACAGTGCAACAACCAATAGACTAGGCGGCAGCACATATGTAATCCCCAAAAACCCTACACAGCCCGTAGGAATAGGCATGCAATTAGCTAATAATATCCATACATTATCTGTACAAAACCCAGAAAGATAGTAGCTTATTACAGAACTGAAAATAAAGACAAAGGATTTTCCATTTTGAAGTTTCCCACTTGGACTGGTGCACCATTGCAACATGGTCCTTGTGTTCCCCTCATTCCCTATAGCAGCAAACTGGGCAGCACACAGCTTGCCCCAACACAGATTAATGAAGCCTGGAAGAACCAAGAGCGCATAAATGAAATATGTAAATAAACAATGTACAGAAGACTGTTCCACACAAATGTCACAATATAGAGGGTCTAAATTACTCAACTCACAATAAATACACCACTCAACAAAGAAAAACAGTGTTAAGGCCTTAGATAAGACCATGAGAGTGTTAATGATGTGAATATTGGTAAACCTGCAGCAAATCTCCCTACTTTTGATAGCTAGATCACTCAACCCACAAAGGTAAATAACACTCAGCAATGATAGCAGGTGAATGACACAAAAGCAATCCAAAACAACAAATAATTTAGAGTCTTCTTCACTCAACCTACATTCAAGGAATTCAATATTTTTTGTACCAGCCATAAGTACCTGCAGCAAATTAGCAAATTAGAGGATATATTTAGGGCTAGCTCACTCAACCAACATCTGACAACACTCCACTCAATATATATGTGTTCACTCAATTTCTTGCTGCCATCACTCAACCCACTTTTGGCGAACTCATAACTCTCAATAATGGGCTTCATCATTCTATACCTGCAAAACAGAGCCACATTAAATGAAACAGTCAAAACCATCTTCCTATAGAAGCTCACCACACTCAACCCTCAATATTTGCTCCCCTTCACTCAACCCACAGATGATGACACTCTCCCTCAATGTTTAAGGATGGTTATAGGCAACCTCCACTCTTAAAGAAACCAGCTATCAGTCTGAGTCTGCTTGATATTGTTAAGGGCAAGAGCCCTATATCTGACCATACTAATAATACCCTGCAGAATTACGTCTTCATATTTTCTCTCATTGCTAAAGATTCTGTTGTTTCTCTCCATCCAGATTTGGTACACAGTGCAGCAGAAGCCAAGTCTCCTGATGATTGTAACTAGAGATTTTCCCTTGCATTCTCCAGGCACAACCTCAGTAAGACCCAACCAATTAGTGCTCTGCCAATTAGCTTTGCACTTGGTGAGCACTGTTAAAATCCACCTACTCTCCACCTACTTCACCCACTTAAACCTACTCCACTAAACCTAACCCACTAAATCCACATACTCTCCACCTACTTCACCCACTTAAACCTACTCCACTAAACCTAACCCACTACACCACTACCACCTCCACTTCACCTACTCCTTACCTACTACACACTCACCCTCTTCTATATATAGGAATCATGAATCATTGTAATAGATATCAATAACATTATATCAATCAATAATACAATTCTCTATTTCTCTTTATACATTAAATTTCTACAAGCACAGTAACCCAAACCTTAGAGGAGAAAGGGCATTGGAAGAACAAGTGATCATGGTCCTTCCCATTTGCACCACACAAGGGACAGACAGAGTTGGGGGTTAGGCCAAACATGGCAAGCCTGTCACCAGTGTTCAATCTCCCCAGAATAGCCATCCAAAGAATGAAACCCACTCTAGGTATAGAGTAAGGGCCCCACACCAGATTAGTCCACTAGATAGTGGGCCACTTTGATCTCCAAATATTCTAAGCAGAACTAATGCTGAAGTTCCCATCATTTGTGGGGAGCCAAATGGTGCTATCATTACACCCAAGAGATGGTTTAAGATCAGGAGGTGTATGGGCTATGATCTCCTTCACCTCCCAAGATGAAGTATTGGGCCATTCCTAGCCCATCTCCCCACAACAGAAACCACCTTGGCTTGCCCATTTAAAGCAATGACATTCATGAGTCTATTACCATACCTAGACCATAAAAATCCAAAGGGATGCCAGTTATCATACCATAAAAAGGTCCCTTCACCATTGCCAATCTTGCACTGAATTAAGTGAAACAAGGACTCTCTTAAGGACAAAAGTTTCCTCCAAACCCAAGAAGGGTCACAAGGTGTTTTAACTTCCCAGAAGCTGTGGCCTTTTAACAAATAGGATTTAACCCGGTGACACCACATGGATTGTTCCCCACCAGCCACAAGAAACCAGATATGTTTAGACACAGCAGCTCTGTTCCATATCTCCATGGATTTGAAGCCTGAACCCCCTTTATTCTTAGGTGCACAAACTCTATCCCAAGCAACCTTAGCCCCAGCTTTCTTAAGTTCTAGACCAGACCAAAAGAAAGATCTACAAAGAGCTTCAACCTCCTTAATGACTTTTTTGGGAAGGATGAATAAGGAAGACCAGTGGACTTGCATGGAGAAAAGAATTGTACTGATCAGCTGGGCCCTCCTAGCATAAGACAAAGATTTATTAGTCCAAGATTTGATCCTATTAGTGATCCTAGTGACTAGACTATTACAATAAGTGGCTCTGAGTCTAGTGGTAATAAGAGGAACACCCAAGTATCTCACAGGTAGCTGACCCTCCTGAATATGAGTAATCCCCAAGATATCATTCCTAAGAGAGTGATCACAACCAGAGAAAAAGATATGACTCTTGTGAGGGTTTGGAGCTAACCCAGATAAGGTTTGAAACTCCACAAGGCCATCCTTAATAAGCTTAATAGATGGAATATGCCCCCTTACAGAAAACGATGAGGTCATCAGCAAAACAAAGATTTACAATCGTGTTCTTCCCACATCTCCAATGGAATTTGAATTGAGGATCCAGGGATTTCTCATTTAGGATTCTAGGAAGTACTTCCATAACAATGACAAAGAGATAGGGGGACATAAGGTCACCCTGCTTCAACCCCCTAGCCCCTTGGAAATACCCATGAAGACTACCATTAATGCAAATAGAGAAAGTAGCTGAAGAGACAAAAGCTTGAATCCAATTGATCATTCTAGAAGGAAAGGACATAACTTTTAGCACATCAAAGAGGAAATCCCACCTAACATTGTCATAAGCTTTCATAAGATCAACTTTCATAGCACACTTAGGAGGGGGATTTTTTATGGTACCCCCTCATAAGCTCCTGAGAAAGGAAAATATTATCAGCAATTCTTCTCCCTTGGACAAAGGCAAATTGGACAGGATCAATGACACTAGGAAGTACACCTTTGATTCTATTGGCAATAATTTTAGCAATGCACTTGTAGATGGTATTACAATAGGATATGGGTCTATAGTGGGAACTTTAGGCACCAGTGCAATTGTGGTACTATTAATCTCCTTAAAAAACTCACCAGAATCAAAGAAGGATTTAATGGCAAGGGTAACTTTAGAACCAACAACATCCCAAGCATTTTGAAAAAAACTAGTAGAGTACCCATCAGGTCCAGGAGCTTTGCTAGGATTAAGGGATTTGAATACATCTATTATCTCCTCAACAGTCACATCTTTGGCCAAAGAATTAATCTGATCACTGGTCAATCTCTTATTAATTAAGGAGCTAACTATCTCAAACCCAGAATAAATGTCCTCATGAGGAGACCCAAACAAGTTGGAAAAGTTGGTGACAAAAGCAGAATGAATGTCAGGAGGAATAGTGAGCCTAACCCATTATCAAGAGTAACCCCACTGATTCTGCCTCTGTTCTGTTATTCCTCACAGACCTAAACATGAAACTACTATTCCTATCCCCCAAGCTAAGCCATTGGATCCTTGATTTTGGTGAGCTAAACTCTCTTTAGCTTTACACAGATCAATAAAGTTCTTGCAAAGAGTGCTTTCAGTGGCTTGAAGATCAAGGTTCATGGGGTCCTTATCAAGTTTGATTTGAGCACTCTCTAAATCAGATTTAGCACACAGGACCCTAGAGGATAGGTCACTAAACTCCTGCTTATTCAAACCTCTCAACAGAGGTTTCAGGGACCTAAGCTTACAGCAGATTTTGAACATGGGGGAACCCTTCACATACTTGCACCAAACATCTCTAACAATAGGAATGAACTCCTTATGGTCAGCACAAAAGTTAAAATATTTGAAAGGCTTCCTATAACTAGTCCCCTTTGGAGTAATACACAGGATAGCAGGGGAATGGTCAGAAAGCCCAGCAGGACAGAAATAGACATGAGACAAAGGAAATGATTTAAACCAGCTATCATTCCCTAAGACTCTATCAATCTTAGAAGCTATGTAGTGTCCATCAGTTTGTTTATTGGCCCAAGTGAACTGACAACCACTGTAAGAAATGTCATCTAAAGAGGACTTGATAATAGAGTGATTACACAACTCTTTCATTGTACCAGGTGTTAGCACCCCCTATCTTCTCAGAAGGGTATCTGATAGCATTGAAGTCCCCAAGCCAAACAATAGGACCATTGGACATATGGGAAGCAAACTCAAAAATTTTGTCAAAAAGAGGGATTGTCAAAACATGCTGATTTTCAGCATACACAAAACCAGCAACAAAAGAGGTATCATTTTCTAACAGGTCAATTTTGCAAAACATTATTTGATCAGATTGATATAATGGGTTAATGGCACAAAAGGTGGGATCCCAACACACCCAGATACGACCAGTAGAATCCATGTTGGAATTAGTTACAAAAGCCCATTTATTCTTAAATACCCTCCCAAAAATACTTTGCTCATTAGCATGTCTAACCTTAGTTTCCAAAATACCAAGGATTTTTAAATCTTCCTTCAAAACAAAATTCCTTATTTCTTTTTGTTTTAGAGGGTCATTTAACCCTATAATATTCCAAGATGAAATTTTAAAATCTATAGCAAAGTATGAACGTCACTATTAACCCACTAAATCAATCTTTACCTGTATTTCTTCCTCTGGCTCCCAGAGGCTTTGCCTGCTGCTTTTTTTTTTTTTTGCTGCCTGGTGCCATTGGTGTGAGGCTTTGCACTTCTTCTGTTGTTACTGGTTCCACATTCTCAACTGGAATTTTTGCAGCCAGGGCTTTTCTTTCCACTTCTTCAATGATTTGACTAGTTTTTGGGCTGAGAACATGTGCTAATCCCAATAATTCATCATGCAGCTCCTTTAGTGGGGCTTCCTGGTTGACTCCTGGAATGAGACTTTCCCTCTGTTGTTGTATTGCTGGTTGATTTGGGTCCATTTCCTGGTTTACCCCTGGGCTAAAACTCTCCCTCTCGGGTGGAATATCTTGTTGATTGGAGTCCACAGCAAGGACACTTACATCAGGTTCCCCAATCTTCTTTTTGCCTTTAGCCTTGACTGTTTGCCAATCATCCTCCTTCAAATTTTCTGCCTCTTGTTGCATCTGAACCAGGTGAGCCACCTGGTTAGCTACACACTTCTTAGTTTCATGTCCAAAAACTTTACAGTGCTCACATTTTGCAGGTATACCTTAGTATTCTACTCTGATCTCTACCACTTCATCATCACACCTTAACAAAAAGTTTTGTGGAAGAGTAGATTCCACATTCACCTCCACACAAACTCTAGCAAAAGATACCCTTGTACCAGTCGAAGTTAGGTGATCCATGAACGGGGGGATCCTTATCTTACTAGCTATCCTACTAAGCCTTTCAAAATCCCAATATTCCATAGAAACATACGTACTCCTTTGTTGGCTTCATCATTCTCTTCCACCTCTTCAGAAGTAGCAACTGGTTTCCCATGTACCAGGGTCCCCCCTCTAAGACTCTTTCACATGAATCAGCATTATCAAACATGGAGAACATAAAGCCATCCCCATTTGCCAAGACTTCCTTCAAACCCATATTCTTCCACTGGTTGGAGGCACTATTTCTAACATAGTTGAACAATAGCTTTTTATCTAGAAAATATCCCACTAAGCATGACTCCCATTTCCCCAAACTGTGATGCCCTGGGAGAACACCTCCCAATCCTATTCACTTGGGCATTCCCGCCATACAACACACACCATACAAATAGAGACAAAAATAGTGAAATAACATTCATTACATTTCGTTCCCTTTTAAACTATCCCCTAAGATTCACAATGTCGTCTCATTACATCTATAAACAAAACAAAATAGTTCAAAAGTAAGAAAATATACAAGAAGACAAATCGCAAGTCGACTTCCTTAAAAAATGTGTTCCTTGTTACACTAGCGTAAAACCGACATCCAATTACAATACAACCTTAGTCTTGAAGATTTCAACAAATGGTTTCACACTCCAAAAGGGTTTTCTTTTTCTCAAGAAATCACTTAGGAGATGCTTAGTCTTCATTTCCTGAAATTGGTTAGCTTTGGGGTGAGCAAAAGCTCAGTAGGTAATGAACTCTGTTGTTAGAATCGTACAATTCGGTTCGATACATATGAAAATTGATTCGAACAGGTAGATGGAATCGCAAATGGCACAAAATCGAAGCTGAATCGATCAATTCACGATACAAATCGATGAATCGCACAATTCTAACAGTTGCGGGCCGACCCAATTTCCTCGGACCCGAATGAAGAAATTTGATTTTTGGCCCAATTTTTTCGCTTTTTCTTGGCAGAAGATGGGTCGCCTGGTCTTCTAAGACCAAACGACAGCCCAACAAAGGTAAACCACGGTCTCTTTTTACTCCCAAAAGACAAAACCCTAGAAAGACTCGCCTCTCTGTTCAACGCAGTGCTCGTGGTCCTTCTTCTCACTGTTTGGTGGCCCCTTTCTGCTGGAATCTGCTTTGTGGCCCTTCGTCTTGTCTTCAAAGCTTTATTAAAGTGCGTCCTCTTCTTGGGTCTTCAATTTTGTTTGAGCTACTACCAGGCAAACTTCATAGGTAATATAAAATGCTATATTGACTTTATACTTTGCCTTTTCCGTTACTTTATTGTTTTTGTCTACTGTGAACTCAGTAGAAGTATTGAAGCTGCTGTTGTGATGGGTGTGGGACATTAAAAAAATATTTTGCTTTCTTTGATGGATAAAAAAAATATGAAAAGGAAAAAAAAAAAAGTAGGAAACAAGATCCGACATGGGACCGTTGTACCCATGTCAAAGATGACAATAGAATGCATTTGAGATGTAATTATTGTGGAAAAGATTATTGGAGTGGGGTCATTCGAATGAAAAATCATTTAGCCGGAACTCATGATAATGTTGGTGCTTGTAGTCAAATTTCTGAAGATATTATGAATATGTTTTCACAACTGTTAAGTGGAAAAACACAAGACAATATTATAGATGTTGATTGTTTGGAAGAAAAAAATGTTGACGGGAAATGTAAAGAGGGAACTATGGATGCATATGTCACAAAGGGGAGGGCAAAGCAACAGAGTTTGAATCAAATAGTGAAGCAAAGGAAGCCCGTGATTAGAGATATTTGTAGAGTCATTTATGGGCATGCATTGGCTTTTAATTTAGTGAAAAGCCCCTTGTTAAAAAAGATGTTGAAGTCGGTTGGTGAGTATGGTGTAGGATTGAAACCACCTAGTTATCATGAAGTGAGAGTATCTTTTTTGAAAAAAGAGGTTGATCATGTGAATGCCAGTTTAGAAGTGTATAGAAATGAATGGAAGAAGACGGGTTGCACTATAATGTCCGATGGATGGACCGATGGAAAGTCTTGCTCTCTTACTAATTTTCTTGTTAATAGTCCAAGTGGAACGGTGTTTATTAAATCAATAGACACCTCTGGTGCAATTAAAAATTCTATGAAATTATATGAGATGCTTGATGACATTGTGAAAGAAATTGGGGAAGAAAATGTGGTTCAAGTGGTAACCGATAGTGCATCGACCTATGTGGGTGCCGGTAGATTATTGAAAGAGAAGAGGACTAAATTGTTTTGGTCCCCATGTGCAGCACATTGCCTTGACTTAATGTTAAGTGACATAGGTGAGTTGACGGTTTTCAAAGATACAATAATTAAAGCCAAGGAAATCACTGTGTACATTTATTGGCATGCTTGGGTGCTTGATTTATTCACAAAATTTACAAAGAATAGGGAGTTGACAAGACCCGCGGTTACTAGATTTGCCACCGCCTTCTTTACTTTAAAAGTTTCCAAGATAGAAAGCTCCAACTTAGAGCTACGTTTGCATTGGAATAGTGGGCTAGAAGCAGCTATGCTACATCTGTTAATGCAAAAAAGGCACAAGGAACAATCTTGGGAGATGCTAGATTTTGGAAAGCAATCAAGTATTGTTTGAAGTGTGTGCTTCCTTTGGTGAAAATTTTGAGGCTTGTGAATGGTGATGCAAAGCCGGCAATGGGATTTATTTGTGAAGCTATGGATAGAGCGAAGGAAGAACTTGCTTCAAACTTGAACCATGTGAAGGGTAGATATAAGTGCATTTGGGAAATTATTGCTACTAGATGGGATTTACAACTCCATAGGCCTTTTCATGTGGCGGCATATTACCTTAATCCAATGTAAGTTTTTTACTCATTTTGTCTAATTATTTGTGTTTTGTTGTGTGACTTATATACAAAATGTGTAATAGAATTTATTTATGAAGTTATCTTTCTTTCTAGGTTTCATTATCAAGAAAACTTCACTGCAGATACAAAGGTGAAAATAGGTTTATTTAAAACCATTGAGAGTATGTATCCGGATATAGAGGATAGAGTGAAGGTTGATGAGCAATTAGAAAAGTTCAAGAAGGCCGAGGGTATGCTTGGTATGAGCATGGCCATCTTGGCAAGGGAAAAGAAACAACCCAGTAAATTTTTCGATTATGAAATTGTATATTCACAATTTCACAACAATTATGTTGGCATGCGTTATTCTCTAACATCTCTTTATCATTTAATTACAGCTCTATGGTGGGAAAGTTATGGAGAAGAGTGCAAAGAGCTTCAAAAGCTAACTATTAGAGTGCTAAGCCTTACTTGTAGTGCCACTGGGGTGAGAGAAATTGGAGCACTTTTGATCATGTGCACTCGAAGAAAAGAAACCAGTTGGAACAACAACGGTTGAATGCTTTGGTTTTTGTGAAGTATAACATTCAACTTAAGTTGAGGCAAATTACGAGACAAGAAAGGGGTGAAACTTATGATCCTATTTATTTATCAGATGTAGAATCCAATGATGAATGGATTACCGAGAAAGAGGATCCATGTCTACCCGAAGATCATTCATGGATGGACATCCAAGAGTGCTTCGAAGATGATGAAGGAGTAACAACTAGCAAAAAGAGAAAAAGATGTATAATTTTATATTTTAAATAAGTTGATTTCAAAGATTTAGTTTCTATATTTTCACATTTACTTGCTCATTCATAATCTTATTTAATTTTATTAATGTAGGACCAAGAAATTTAAATGCCGCCGATAGAGGAAAAAAAAAAGTATTTGAAGATGATGACGAAGTTGAATTGATTGAAGGTGGAGAAGGGGAAGAGGAAGAAGAGTTTGATGAAGTGACTATGGTAGATGATGACGAAGAGGATGACTCTAATATTGACCTTGGAGATGATGAAGATTGAGGAAATGAAGAAATGAAAGCTTTTTGGAATTTTTAACTTAATCTAACTTTTGTTTTGTATGGTCTCTTTTTGACACAAGTTACTTTACAAGTATAGATTAGAGTTTTGAAAAGTTTAGAACTTGTTAAGTTGTGAACCTTATTCATGATCATACATTCATAGAATCATATTATAATGAATGTGGATTGCCATATATATATGTTGGGATGTGAATTTACATAAATTATATCATAAATACATAAATATAATATACGATGATAGATCACGGTGGGGCTCGGACCCACATCTCTTGCCATAGAAGCGTCTTACCTATTTAGACCACGTGATCATCATGTAAAATAACATTTTCATTATTTTAAGTCTAAATATTTCATATTTATAATATTTAAGTGTATAAATATGTTTTTTTATGTAATTTAGAAAAAGTAACTTAATCTTTACAATTCACAATTCGATTCGCGATTCGATACATGGCCATTTCGATTCACGATTTGAATCCCGATTTGACAACTATGGTAATGAATTTAACAAGTTATATTATTAATTGAAAGACACATAATCATGCAATGTAAACATTTGGAATATAGAAATGAAGATGTATATAAGTGTCTATGTATGTGGGTGAAAACATGCAATGCATGAAATTTGCTCAATCTTTCCACATTATCCACGGGTGGAAATATACTAAGGCATCCCAAGTATGAGCCAAAAATCAAAAGCATACATATATAGATATAGTTTTGTATACTGAAAATAGTCCCACATTTGCCGGCTCCAGAAATAGCGAGACGATGGGCACCCAAAAAACATTTTCCCATCCATATTTGCCGATTCCATAAACGGCGGGGCCGTGGACACCCAAAACCATGTTTTTCCACATTTGTCGGCTCTAGAAACGGTGGGCTCGTGGACACCCAAAAGTATTTTCCCACATTCATCCAGCGATATACGCAGACAGGGCAATTGAGCACCTTGACTCACTGCGCGGGTACCAATTACATTACACAACTCAAAAACCAACCCAACTCACTACCAGACTCATAGACTATTTACTCCCGCTTTTCAACAATCACTTCATCAGTGTCAAAAGAGAAATTTGGAATGCATATGATGCATGAATTAATAAATCTTCAATTTTTTCTACAATGAATTCAATTCATAACAATTCACTACTTTACGCATCAATAATGGAAGATACCTCATTAACAACCTTCACCAACTCAAGGTGTATATAGAGAAAAGTTTCAAATCATACATTTCAACCTTAAAGTTAAGTAAATACATTCAATTTCATATTTTTGAAACCAATTGAGGAAAACCCCTCTTTATTGAACAAATTTCAAAACTAGGGTTTATGGAAAACTTGGGGTTTTCTCTCTTTTATGAATTAAGGCCTATTTTCCCTTATCAACAACGAAAATCATCAATAAAAGACATAATTCCATCTAAAAATCATGAATTATTGACCACATCCTTCCAAATCATTTATTAACCAACACAATCCATGCACATACACATATATACACACACACACATATATAAATAAGGATGAATATTTAATGAAATTACCACATGTGGGTCTTAAATCCAAGATATAACAAGTTAAAGACACCCCTGCCTCAAAATTGGAAGTTGAAGATGAGAACTCACTTGAAACTTTGGCAAAATTACGAAATACTCGGTAGAACTCTTAATCCAAGCTTTCCTTTCAACCTCCTTGAAGGATCTAGGGTGGATCTAAGGTAAAAATCAGAGAAATCAAGTGTTTAGGGCTCTAGGGTTTTGATATTGAGGAAAGGGAGAGAAGAAAGGAAGAAAGAATAAAGATTTTGAGCCAAAAAGTGCCTTTAAAGTGCCTGATATTGACCAGACCGCTTGAGCGGTCAAAGCTTGGCTTGAGCAGTGAAAAGAAGTTCCTAGAATCTTTGAAATTTGTGTAGACCGCTCGAGCGGTGAAAAGTTCACTCGAGCAGACTTTTCCAACACGGATACTCAAATTTCAAACGGGCATAAGTCTCTCGTCCGAACTCTATTTTAGGTCGTTCTTGTGTCCAACTAGAAGCCCAAAAACAAGATTTTCAATGGCTCTAGCCTCACATCCAAATTCAAAGTGTGAAAAGAGAAAATGGCAAGTGGAAAGAGAAAATGGCAAAAGAGTGAAGAATACTCATGACACAATTATCCGAATCAATGTTTTTTTGTCCAATCTTACTTTACCATTATGATATCACCCCCAATCAATACTCTAACATCAACTAAAGAGGCTCCAAGTATAATAATAAGAGTGTCAAAAGAAATCCCATGAATTTAAGAAGTACAAAGTGTTACACAAACCGTCAATACGCGAAGGTAAATCTACAACATTAGGGTTATCAGACGGAGGAGGAATGTACCTCAATTTGACTGGTGATCTTTACGGTGTGGCGGCCACTTCAGCCCAATTTTAGCAGGCCTTTGAGATGCTACCTCAGTAGCGTTTCCCCCTCTCTCAGATTTGATTCGGTAGAGCATGATAACCCCTACCTCCTCTACCACGACCACCACGATATGCTCCGTATCCTCTTCCACCCCGATTATCTCTATTAGGCTGACACCAATCCTCTCCACTAGCCAAAGAAGGTTGGATGTCCTGAAACCCTAATGAATCAAGGTTACTGGACCCAGCCGTTTGTGGGGCTAGCCCTCATGGGAAAGATTAGATATACCTCGGGCCTTGGTGAGAGGAAGGCTGTCTTTCACTCCTTCAGAGCGACGACCCACAGTTTCATCTTCAACCACATCACTCCATCTCGGGTTACCTATTAGGCTCAGAGGGGTATTAACAGCCACCTCTGTAGTGGTACCCTGCGCCGATCTCACATCAGATGCGTCACGACTGTATTTCTCCTTCATTTGTTGAAGACAATTTGCTAAATCCACAATAGAAAACAAATCTTTGTCTTCCATACCACCACTTCGCTTAGCAATATCGACTAGATTGATAAGGTCGTTCTCTTAAATTTGATCATCAGCCACTGTACTTTGCCCTAATTTTCTTTCAACACCCGATTTAGGGGTGACAAGGGCCAGCCCCTCAAATCCCGATAAACGTTTACCTAACTGGTTCAAAGAAGCCCCTCTTCCAAATTAAATCCAGCCAAACTTGACTAGAGAGAAGCCACAGTTTCTCTCACCGGCCTTATTATTCATGATCAAAAAAAAGTCAAAAAGTCATTTCTTATTTAAATCATGTCATCTTATTTAAATTTCATTACATTTTTATCACATCACTCCAAACTCAATCTATACTCAATTCATATTTCATAAAAAATCAAAAAAATACACTTAGATCACTCCAAATCACTCCATAATTTAAATATTTTTTTATCTTAACTATATCTAGCTACCAAAATTAAACCAACCATCAACTTGTTACCTAATATTTTAACCGTAAATGTAATGTATTTTTTTGGTAGAAGTTAAATAATATGTGATTTAAAAATAAAGTTACGTATTTTATGATAATGTTACATGTTTTTATGATAATGTTTTTTTGGGTGGGTAATTTTTTATTTTATTTTTTTTGTGTGATAATGTTACATATATTTTTATTCAATCATTTTCTAATCACAAAATGTGTAAAAATATCACAAAATATGTAACATTACCACATAAATGTGTAACTTCATTTCTGAATAATAAATTGTCGTTAATCTTACCAGAAAATATGTAATATGTACCACAAAAATAAGTAATATACACTACAAAAAATATAACAAGCTGCATATTGTATATAGAATTTTCTTCAAGGGTAAACACTCATTTCTTGGTAAAATACAAGAAAATAAAGGTAGAAGCTAGGTAACTAATAAAGGACGGATATGATTTGTTTAATTACTATGCAATAAATTGAGATTTATGATGGCGGATTTGGTGATAAACCTCTTACTATCTAATTTGTCTTTTAAAAGGACAAGAATTATATAGCTACTTTCAAAACTCCCTAATATTTTAAAACGTGTTTCTTTTACTATATTACCCTCATATCTATTAGCTCTCCTATTAAGCCATCTTCACAGTGTATTTTAGAGTAAAGTTTTACTTTGAATCAGATACTTTGAATCATAGTAATCTGATTCAAAGTAAAATTTTATATTGTTAAACAAATCAACATGTTTTTAACCAGAGTAAAATTTTACTTTGAAAGTACAATTTTATTATGATCTAAGGAGAGTATCCACTTTGAATCACACCAAGTGTCATGTATTAATAACCTTGTGTGTTTGGTTGCTGAGAAAATCACAGAAACATAACAAGAAAACCAAATATAGTTTGGTTGTTGAGAAAATCAACATGTTTTTTAACCAAAGTAAAATTTTATATTTTTAAGCAAATCAATATTTTTTAACCAGAGTAAAATTTTACTCTGATTCAGAGTAAACTTTACTCTGATTCAGAGTAAAATTTCTGTGTGAAATTCTAATTAGAGAGATTCTTATCAGAAAGAGAGAAAGAGAGAGAAATTGAATAGATCATCCATTTTAATAGATAGATCATCCATTAAACAAGCTAAGTATGAACAGATCAATTCAAAAACTAGTAAAAGCACAAATCTATATTACAAGGATATATAACCACAAAACACATAGATCAAAAACTAAACAAAAACATCGAAATATCAACATAATCATAATTTGATTGAGGTGGCCATTTCAGAGAACACATATGTTCAACAACACTCATACACATATGTTCAAAGAATGCATATGTTCAACAACACTCATATACACAAATATATATATATATATATATACATATATATTCAAAACTCAGATCTGTGTTTAAAAAAATATCGCGTAATATACATACATACACTCACTTACCGATATATATACATATACACATGTATGTATGAGTCATATATACATACATACATGCACACACATATATATAAATACATACATACACATATACATAGGAAGAGAAAATCAACGAAGACGTGGCGGAGTTTGGCGTGTTCGCCGGAGGGAGTAGCAGAAGAGGATCGGGCGCCAGCAGCGTTGGCGAGGTCGACGCAGGAGTTCCAGAGGCGGTAGCTGAGCTTCCAGATCTAAAGCTTGAAGGAGTTAGAGAAGGGAGAGATGGAGGAGAGAGACAAAGAAAGTGGAGAGAGAGTGGGTGGAGAAGGTGGGAAAATTTAGTTAAGTGTATAAT